TCATAAAGGTCTACTATCGGACTAGTCGGTGTACTGTACACTGTTAATCTGTTAATCTTACCCCATTTCCTAATGTGTAGAAATCTGGTCGTATGTCATGTTAAATCTGATCGGCTGTTCTTGTGAAAATCGATTTTGAAATAACAATCATTGAAGAACGATTTTAACAGATACTTCCTATGGGGCGCCTTTTGCTATTAATGCAAAAAAGTGATATCACCTATTCGAAAAGGTGATATCACCTATTCAGATTTTAAATAGATGATATCACCTATTCGAGTAGGTGATCTCACCTTCTCGAATAGGTGATATAACTTATTCGAATACGTGATACAGTTAAACCGGTTATAACGAAGTCGCTGGGACCTATAAAATCACTTTGCTATATCCGTAATTCGCTATAACCGTATAATAAATACATGAAATTCATATAGCTGGGGATCGAAAATGACTTCGCTATATTCGTTAATTCGCTATATCCGTGTTCGTACTAAACAAGTTTTACTGTATCACTTTTTGGCAGTAAATACTTAAACGGCGCCCCCAAAAATACCGCTTCGTTATATAAAAATAACGAATTAATTCAAAGTATTCATGATGTAAAAGTCAATCTTTGAAAAACTAATCATTTTATACTGGTAACCCCCCCTCCCCCCCAAAAAAAAGAGAGAGAGATTTTTTTCATGATAACATTACTTTATATTCCTGTGAGTTCTGTAGAATTCGGTAGAATGTTCCTTTTAAGCCTCTTTCGTTACTTCTCACTAAAATATTAACAGTAGTGAAGAAAACCTTCAAGAGTACTGTACAACTATATATTCAAGAAGTGGTGTAAATCAGATGTGGATACTTAAAAATTCTAAAGAACTTTTGGACAATTTAAAATCACAAGACTTTACAAAAATCAACAGCATAAAAACTTATGACTTTTCAACTTTATACACAACAATCCCCCACGACAAATTAAAATCCAGGCTTTTTGATATCATTGACAGCTGCTTCTTCAACAAAAATGGAACTCGTAAGTTTACTTACCTCGTCATTAGTCATTTGAAAAATTATTTTGTTAAAACAGATTCTGATTGCACACATAAGTACTCTGGGGTTGACATCAAGAAGATGCTTGAGTTTCTTATTGACAATATCTATGTGGGTTTTGGAGACCAGGTATTCCAACAATCTATTGGAATTCCCATGGGTACAAATTGCGCTCCATTATTAGCAGACGTATTTTTATATTTATATGAAGCAGAATTTATGCAAAATCTTTTACGTGATAAGAAGAAAACACTTGCTGTGGCCTTCAACTCGACATTTAGATATATCGACGACGTATTGTCAATTAATAATGATAATTTCCATTCCTACGTCGACACGATATATCCTGGTGAGCTTGAGATAAAAGATAACACAGAGTCCGACACTTCTGCTTCACACATGGATATTTTACTTGAAAAAGACAATAATGGTAATCTTACAACCAAGTTATATGATAAACGTGATGACTTTAACTTTTCTATCGTCAACTTCCCTTACTTATGCAGCAATATACCTTCATCACCTGCATACGGAGTATTTATATCTCAGTTGATTCGATATGCAAGAGCATGCTCTACGTATGAACAATTTCTTAAACGAGGTAAATTATTGACAAGCAAGTTGATGAAACAAGAATATCAACAGTCTCGTTTAAAGTCATCATTTCGTAAATTCTATGGTCGATACAATGACCTTGTCAGCAAATACAATTTATCATTGAATGAAATACTGACTGACGTTTTTTATACCAATTGTTAGTCCATTATTTATACACTGAATTGACCACGGATTTTTTCCGTTTTATCCTGATTATGACAACGAGCACACGGCGGGTGTGACCGGTCGGCAGGGGATGCTCACTCCTCCATGGCACCTGATCCCACCTCTGATGTTTCAGATGTCCATGTTTGCTCTGCTCTTATTTTGTATATTTGTTTTACGGACGTTAAGATTGAATACTCTTCGTTACTTCCATATCCTTCTTCTAACACATGAAATAAAAATACAATCTTTTTAAAAAGTAATATATATTTTGTGTTCATGAATAAATATAAATTAATAACAAATTGATTTTCGGTGGTTGGCGGCTTGCTCCAGGTGTGTTAAATTTAATAATTATTTTTTAAAACAAAAATCATATGCACTAAAAATAAAAACAACACATGCAATAATTAATCATATACGGTAATGTCTTTTTTTATTTTTACTGTAAGTGATTTTTTAAAAATAATTTTTAAAAATGATTATTATTTACGTGCAGAGGGAAATATGCTCGACCACATTCGTAAATATAACCCCTAATAATTTTATGAATATTTCCAAAAAAGAAGCCCACATCAACCGAATGTCGATCCCAGAATATTCTATGATTACCTCAAGGACCTGGCATCAAGCCCAATCGCGATGATGAAGGAGACTTTGAGCGATGATAAATTTGTGTGTGTTTGAAGAGCTTGACTGCGAAATATCTGAAAAAGAAATACAGAATGCAGTTTCTAAGCTAAAAAAGACAAATGTCATAAAACAGACTTGTTGATTAATGAATACTTCATTGTATTTAAACAATATCTTCCTCCAATTGTACATAATCTTTTTCATAGATCTGTCATCAGGTATTTTCTCCATATCTGGGCTAAATCTGTAATTGTTCCTGTATTGAAGAAAGGTGATAGGCTAGATCCAAATAATTATAGGGCCATCAGCTTGATTAGTTGTTTTTGCAAACTTTTTACTTCGATTTTGAATAATAGACTCATTGAATGGTCAAAGACTAATGATATTATTACGGATGCTCAATTCGGATTCCAACCAAGGGTTGGTACAACTGAAGCAATTTTTAGTTTGTCGACAATTATCAGTACGTCTTTATGTAAGAAAAAACGATTATTTGGTTGCTTTATAGATTTAAAAAAAAAAACATCGACGCAGAAGAGTGTTTTAAGCTTTGGAAAAAACTCGGAATTAAAGGGAAATTACTAAATGTTATATGTGCTATGTACGAGAATATGAAATCCAGTGTCAAATCAACAAGATTGATTTCAGAGGTCATTGAAAATAGCTTAATAAAGTTTGGACATTAAGCACCTGTAAGTTGCAGCTTAGTGGTGGCTTAATTGAGGCTTAAAGGAATTAACTTGTTTAAGCCATTATAAAGTCACCATTAAGCTACCATTTAGCGATTGCTTAAAGATGGTATTTTATCTTGTGAAATGATCAGTTGTTTGTACCAAGCTCCTCGTGTCTTTTATTTTCCAAAACATCCCTTACCTTTTTACATCTTTGGATGTTGATAAGACAGGGTGTAATTTTCTAAATTGGAGACTTACTAATCCTTTCAAAAACATTTCTTCTGTGAAAGTTACGAATGTAGTTTGAATTTAAATAAATTTAGATGAATAGGGTATATATAAAAGAGGAAATTATCTCTTTGTTTTGATAATGTTTCAAAATTACACGAAGCTAGGTAAAGGACATTTCAATATTCTGGTACGATTGTGAACATACGACATCAATAACAAGTAAAAACCATTAAATGATTAATGCTAGTTGGATTAGGTGTTGTCTATTCCACAGTCTTTTTAGTTCGAGTATTTCGTTTCAGGTGAGCTCAATCTAACAGGTTCCCTCCCAGTAGCATTACTGGGGGAGTCTTTCACTTGGACGTGCTCTGTGTTTTTACCGCCATGGCAGAGGTTATGCGGTGTTTCGTTTTCAAGGAACAATGTAAGGATTGGTTCTATAGTTTACTCAAACGGAAAATGTGCTAACAAAGATCTCAATCCGAGATACATGTTCTTTTGTGAATCTGAATGCATGTTTTCTTTGGTCATTCCCTCCGAGAAAATGACAGAGTATGAGGCAAACACGACTTGGAGATGTCAACATTATAGTTATAGATATCTCAAAAGTCCAGAAGTCAGACTTAAAATTCGAGGTGATTAATTTTCTTTCATATAATTTACATATCTACAAATTTTGTTTTACATAGAAATCAACGGTAAATAATTCCTAATAGGAATTATAGACAATGTATTGAAAAACATTCTGATTTTGACAATTTGTGAAAATTTTTCATGTTTTTCACATTTTCATAGATATTCTGACTGCATATATACAACTTCGCATTGTTTTCAATGACTTAAACATTTTCTTTAACGTGGCAAATAAATTTGAAAAGAAAAGAAGACGCCAAAGGCTAACATTGCTCATCTGAGGAAATAGGAAAGATTGATTTGTATGTATGTTGTTTAATGTCCCTCTCGAGAAGTTTTGACTTATATGGAGACGCCACCACTTGCCTTTGGAGAGATGAAAATTTTGTTCTATACTCGGCACTAAATGCCATTCAGCAGGGAGGGATCTTTTTCGTGCCAGCAAATACTGTGACACGGGACCTCGGTTTATACAGTCACATCCGGAGGACCGATCTCCACGTACAACAGTGGGATTTGATCCCACGACGTAAGGATCAACTAGAGCAGACGCTCTAACTACTGCTACACGTGGGCGATACCTAAGAAAAATTAGTCATGATAAGTTCAGAACTAAGTCTTTGAAATCTATAAGTGGTCCATTGGGGGAAGTAGGTAAATTAAGAAATAAAGTCCGCGTTTTCGTGAATGTTGCAGAATAACCTCCGAGGTCGAAAAATGTTGTTTGAAAGATAAAAGCCAAGGCGTTAGCCGAGGTTTTTATATTTCAAACAACATTTCGAACATCTTGCTCCATATTTAGATAACAAAGTATGCTTAAATTTAGTTTTCTTAAGAAGCCGCTTAAGATCAATATGACGATATCGATATGACGACGACAAACAAGGGAAAAAACTCACTTTAGTCTTCGACTCAGCTGAGTTATAAAGTTAAATAAATAACCTATATTTTCACACATTACAGTGTTTGTCCAGAACGTCATAATTATACCAAGAGACAATCCTATAACGCTTACAGAAGGAACAAAAACTGCAATCACGTGTTCTGTGAATAACAGCGCTTACCCTCCTCCAACAATGCAGTGGTATATCGGGGATACATTGGTCAATGTGACAGGAAAAGAACTGGAACTCACGGCTGATAGACATAATGATGGAAAAATGTTACTCTGCATCGCCACCAATAACAACAAATCGCTCAATGCATCAAAAGTCTTAAATATTCTGTGTACGTTGGTTACATGTTAATTTCATATTATTATTCAGTTATTGAGCATGATTGAACGTTTTTTTTTAATGAAAATGAACTCATGTTGAAAAAAAATGTTTTACATTATTAGATAAACCTGTCATAAATATTGCTCCATCCCAATTACTTACCGTTAACTATGGGGACACAGTATCAGTCAACTGTGTAGTGGTGAAGTCTAATCCTGCAAAAATTCTTGAATACATATGGTCAACACAGGGACAGGAAAGGGTAATTGGGAGAGAATCTAACCTCACCATCATTGATGCTTCTTTAAAAGACAATGGGACTTTTCAATGTAGCGCTAGGAACAGTGTTGGGACGTCTAAACTATCATATGTAACAGTGATTGTTCGCTGTAAGCTCACATTGTTCCTTTGAATTATGATTTATCTATAACCTAAAAAAGAAGTATTCATTGCATGGTTGATAACAATACCTGTCTTCTTTTTAAAGTGGTACCTCCACGGCCACAGTATGTCAAGGCACTTTGCTGTGAAACACACGCTGATGTTGTGTGGGTAACATCACTCTCTGGGGATGTAGAACAGAAATCATTTATACAGTTCAGGGAATCTGCACCACATAGTACGTTCTTCAATACAACTTCTGGCTTCATTTCTACACAGGAGAAAGGACTCTACTCGGCCAGAGTGAATGATTTAGAGCTCGACAACACATACATCTTCAGAGTGGTATCCCTGAACCAGTATGGAATTGTTACTTCTAGAGAGGCTTCATGTATGGTAGAAGAAAATCAAGGTACATTTTTTTTTATTTAAAAGACAATCTCCTTTGTAATTCTACACAGTATTCAAAACGTCCTTTGAAATATTATTTACTGATATCCTGTAAATGTGGAATAAAATTCAAAATTTACAAAATTCACTATTGAGGCAATTTAAATTATTTCCACAAGAAAAAGAATTACTTTTAAAAAACCAACCTTACAATAAAAATCAAAGTAAACATTTACAGCTTAGTTTGTTTTCGTATGTTGATCTAATTGTGATTATAATGTGAATTGAAAGAATTAAATTTTGTAGATGAAAATTGCTTGTATAAGTTATCTTTCTAGGCTCTCTTTGAAGGAGATAATTCAGTTTCATTTAAATGTAAAAAAAAAAAGATAATTCGAAAAAAAATGCTTTTAATTGTATTTGTAAGTTTTTTGTAAAACTGAGTCCAAGTAATCAGATCTCTGACATTTTATGAAGAAGTAATTCATTTTTATGAAAAAGATTGATAGAAATATGTACAGTATGAGTTTAGAATTTATAGTCCTATAAATATAGGGGGGGGGGGGGATTTTGTATATTTGACCTGATCCCACCTCTGATGGATTTTGTATATTTGTTAAATGGACTTTGCTTTTTGTTCAAGCCAATTTTACAGAACTTCTCTTGCATTTAACGTTTTACTACATGAATCACGTTTAAGTGTTCATAAATGGTGATGTCTTTTAGATATGCAACAAGGTTTGGAAATTTTTTGGGCTTCCCTCCAGCCATATGATCTTGTCAGTGTCATGCAATATAACTTGTGCAGTAGTTTTTTTGTATTGCAAGAAGGGACATTTACAAAATATATCATGATACTAAAAGACAAATTCGGTGTATAAAATTGGAGACTTTTAAGGTACATATCAAATTAAAAACAGGGAGAAGCGTATTTTTTTGTATTAAGGTCAATCAGCTCCAAGTGTAGCTGCCACAGTCGGAGGAACAGTCGGTGGTTTGATGGTTTTAATATTGGTAGTGATCATAACAGTTATCATCATCCTAAAAGGTCGGCGTCAACATAAATCAGGTGCAACTTAATTAATCGTATTAAAAACTTTGAAGTTTTTGTTACACAAGTACATCTATTTTCAATGTTAAGACATATCTTTGTTTGCAGAAAAAGGAAATCTGAAAACATCAAGGTTAGTTAACATTTTCTATAGTCAAATGTTGTGTTATCTTTTCTAGTGCAATGATCATGTCATGTAGTATATACAATAAAACTATAGCAGATTCTCCTTGTAATATTTTAGTGGACAAACAAAGTATGAAACCCAAACAGATGATGATTTTGAAGCCCAACAGTACAATGTGATATCAAAAGGTACATTTTATACTATAGTAAAACAATGTAATATAAAAAGTAAAAAGGACATCTTATTTGAATTATTGAATTAGGACAATGCATGTTATATTTTTCATCACGTATTGCTTTTCATAAATTCTTCTTCTTTTGCAGATGTTACTGCCAATTTGGAACCGTACGTACAAAACAATTACAAAACAGTATTTTTTTTTATTTTCCCTTCATTTAATGATAAACAATTTTTATGAATTATTTTTAATTTTTAAGAAGTAATGAGTATGAAGAAATCAAGAGTAAGGGTATCAAAACATACATTGAACTGGAGGAAACAAACCCAAGGAGAGAAGAAAAAGGATCTGATGGTATGTAGTCAGTAGATAATATAGTTCCAACAATATTACTTCTTTATCAATGTAATAACATCGACTAAATGAATTTCTTACATATAGATTGTAGAGTAGGAAAACAATCTCAGTGAATCATTTCCTTCTTTTTTCACAAAGTCTTTAATGATTCTCAGCTGCACTAAGCGGAAAACTTACTACTTTTCATTTTTTTCCAGATTTAAACGCCTATTATTCTAATGCATCGTGAAACAAGAAAGAGAAGAGAAACAAATGCTCTGACAGTTACAATAATGTGCACCAAAAAGGATAAATTTATTGTATTATGACTCATTATTTATTATGTCTATTAATGCATTTCATTAAAACGCCGATTTCTAATGTCAGATTCATTTAATACTCAACATATTTAAAAGGTGAAAATAACAATTTTTTACCAGTATCATAAATAAAATAAATAAACAAAATCTTATCAAGAAAGAAATGACTCCTGGAAACATAAAAAGGTAGGAAAGGTCATAAAGTCAAATTTGGTGGTACCAGAAGAAAGGTCTTGTCACAAGGAATACACCTGTGAAATACTAAAGCCATTGCCCCACCCACTCAAAAGTTATGTGCACTGTAAAAGTGTTTTTGGACAGACAAATAAATAAAACAGCCAGATAGACGGTCAGATGAATGAACAGGGCAAAAACTAAATAACCATCGAATCTTCGATTGCGGGGCATAAAATAGGCTTTGCCTGCTGCCCAATCCCATTCACATTGTTAATAAGATTTTTTATAAGTAAACAAAGTAATTATCAATTTTTAAATTTTTTGCATAATGTAAACACAGTATAAAAACATATAGAAACATGATAAGAATGCAAGAATATTCCAAAAAAAATAAAAGTAGTCTGATATTTTTTTCCCAAAAATGTCTGTATTTAATTATCATTTCTACCTTTTTATCACTAAAACAATACAGAAAGTACATTGTTTATATACTTAGACATCCTATATTCAGTTAAAAAAATAATTTTTAAATATTCAAAACATATTACGTTTCATTTCATCCATATTTCCTTTAACGTTGTTTAAAATATTTTGTGTAATATCAATTTTTTACTTTTCCAAAAACCTTGTTATTATTCATAGTAAGAACCATTCAATTTGACCTTTAAACCTTGACCTTGGGTTTTGACCTACATTCATTTGAAAATTTATAATCTTGACCATAATTTTTGAACAGTTTCTTTAAGATCTTTCATATCCCAGAGTTGTATTCTTTACCACAAATTCTTTCTTTTTTTCTCTAGACCTTGATGTTTTACTTACATTTGCTAACTTTAATCTTCGCCATGAGCCTCCATACGGGGACATAAGTGTTTTATAAAATTTTATCGCCTTTATACATTATTTAAGCATACGTTTTAAAGATATCGTACTGTACAATACCATTTATTTTTAACAAAAAAATTAACAGCGATAAATATTAACATTGTCGAAGATTAGGCTATAAAAACACGGAAGTTTTTATGAATAAAAAGCAAATAATAATAGTGTTTCACGAGTTACTCCTTTATGAATAATGGCTCTTCTCACAACATTAACGTTTGTATTTGGATTCCTCTATACAACACTTGGTATGTACTTTTGAAAGACAATTAGATTTGTTTAACCTAATTTTTAATGTGCATTCATTCTCAAATTCTTTATAGATATATTTCTCTTATTCAGATGTTCAAAATATTCCAAAATTTTATGAATGAATAATGGTATCTACTATAAAACAAGATGGATGTAAGATGTTTAAATAAGACATTTAAAAAATGGTTAAGTATGGAATGGACAAACACGTAAATTTCGGATGAAAAACTTGGTGTAATTAGAACGAAGCAGTTATATACAACATATATGGATATCACTACTCGTATACTGGTATGAGCAATAAACGTTATCCAAAGTGTTGTACAATTACCTTACCGACGACTTGGATAAGTAGGGAACAGTTAAAATTTCCTTTGGCCACGTTAATTAGTACACACTAAGTAGCTGCATAGATGACGCTTTTTATTGCAAGCAGGAAAAGCCCCCATAATATGTTTTAACATCAACCGTGTGTCGTTTGCCAAAATTGGATAATTGAGAAATACGTAATCAATTCAATAAAAATAATAATCCTAAAATTTGTATGAAATTTGTTACTCAATATTCAACGTATTACGATTTGCATTTGTGAACAATTAAAGGTCATTGTATCGTATGTAAAATTTGCAAAACTTGACTTCCACTAATATTGTATGTACCCTTGTATCATCAACTTGTTTACATTAACCTGTCCCGCACTACTCACTGTAGGAAAGCGGCTGACCGTAGTATATACTACGGTCATCAAAACATGTCGGCCGAGGTCATCGCTTTGAAATTTTCAGTCAAGATTTAAAACATTTGCTAGGTTATCTGTGTTAGTTCTTCAAAAAATTATATGTACGCTAATGAGAACTTGCTATAGGTTAGTATAACTTACCTGAATTTAAAGAAATAAAGCTGTAGTACGACATCAAAGTTTTTGACAATTATGACCGTAACAAAATATTAAGATGACCGTAATATAGATTACTCCAAATGAAGTAGGATGACCGTAATATATAAATATAATTTAATGTGTTTTCTATTCTGTTGCAGAGGCAGACATATCATGTTATTTTTGTGTTAAAAAGACAAAGATGTTAATGTAATTTTGAACCATAGCTATGGCACGCCAAATTCACAAAATGAAGTAAACAGAGTTTCACAGTCAATAAACTAGGTTTATTGCTTGTAAACTTTAGTTTACTGACTATAAACTATAGTTAACAGCATTAACCTATATTTCACATCAGCAAATCATAATTAACGCGATTATCTATGTTTCACAACCGTTATCTATACTTAACACCGAAAACAATCATTTGCTATTGCAAAACATATATTACCTGATCAATACAGTTTCACGATTTTTGAACTAGGGTTTACAATTCTTAACTATAGTAAACGATCTGATAAATAAAGTTTCACGATTTGTGAAACTATGATAAACAATTCTTACCAATAGTTTACGATTGTAAATTAAAGTTTTCAAACGTGAATCTTTGTTTTTCAACAACAAAATCTAATGAAAAACGCTTTATTAAGAACAGATAATCTTAGATTACCATTCGTAAACTATAGTTAATTAACAACCGGTAAATATAGTTTTACATATGAAAACTATAGTTCACGGTTTGTAAACTATAGCTAACAGTCATAAAACCTAGTTTATCAACTGTGAAACTGTGTTTTGCTCATTTTTGTGAAATTGACGTGCCATACACTTAGCAAAACTTATAAGAGTTCACTTTAATCAATATATCTATTTTAGAACTGTTTATAGAATGGTATGATATTTTCAAATTATTGCACAAATGAGTATTCTTAACAACTGTAGAAAGAAAATAAAGTATCACCGATGAAAACCAATGTTCTTTGACGAAGCTTACAGGCAATAAATAAATTTGTACTTTCCGTGTTTTGTGTAATTTGCATCTTTTTGTGATCGTTATCAAATTGAAAAAATGGTTTCACTAAAAACACAAAACTTCTACAAAATGACCATTGAGATAGAAGGTAGAGTCGTTGGAATGTTAATATCTGGACCATCTTTGCACAACATTTTACTCTTTTTTTATTTTCATGCATAATTATGTCGTCCCGAACGAAGTCGGTGACGACATATTGCGACTGTACATACACAATTTTTGGTTGTCCAGGCTGTTTCTCAAAGATGGCTGGGACAATCTTTCAGAAACTTTTCTCAAAGGACGATCACTGCTAGTAGCTGTGCCATATGCAGGTCCAGTCCAAAGACTTTTTTCTACCTACGTAGGTATTAATAGCTACTTAGGTATTTAAAACTACCCAAAGTAGCTATTTTTACCTACTTTCTGCTTTACTTGCATTTTGTGGCCAAATGCAGGAACGGCACAACATGGTGAGCACAAAAGTTCTTGATACAGTCACACTGATGATGAATATGACAAAATTTTGGCCAAAAAATGATTACTTCGTATATTGTCAATTTTGCATAGAAACTAATGTAAAATTGCCGATTCAGGAAGTAATCATTTTTAGCCAAAAACATGAACAATATGTTTTTCATCATGTTGCGCTGTTTAGTCCTTTGGTCGCAAAAAAAGCTTCTTTGGGAAGCTTTAAATACATGTACCTAGGTAGCTATTAATAGTTACGTAGGTAGAAATAGTCTTTGGACTGGACCTGGTATGGTCATTTACACTGTAGTTTAAAAATGTCTACCATTGCCATGGAAACCTAAAAAATGCGACGAATTTTGTCCGGAAGGGTACTCTTTAGTCCCTTGAACATTCGTCATAAAACCTTTTTTTTAGTGATTAGTAATTGTAGTTGTGCGATTTGCATTCAAAATTTTCAAATAATCGATTATTGCCATGGAGACTAGAGGAAGGTGAAAATTCTTTAACTTTGATTTTTAAATCAAAGAACTGAAAGGAATTATAAGACTTGATGGATGTCCAATCTTAGCTAATAGGTACATGTATTGTTTTAGTGATACAAAAAATGAAACTCTTGTCCGAAATTATCAATAGTTGCCATGGAAATAGGGGAACAGTTCGGGGCTACATACGCTATCGCTAGCAATAGTAAACTCTCTAGTTGTACTTGATGTTACTTTTAAAAAGTAACAAACAGTATCAAAACCCACTTAAGCACATATTTCTATATGTTGTGCGTCATTTTTCATCGATCACCAAAATTCAACCAAACCGGAATTGACTTTGATCTTCGTCTGAGGACAACATTACGCATCACACCGGGGTAAAAGGTTGGTAAATTGTCCAGAAACAATCTTCGGAAAATGAAAACAAAATATTTCAATCGTACGAAAATGTTAAAAACAAGAAAAAAAAATCTGTGCTCGTGACATTTTAATATCAGTCGAAGTTATTCTGAATCGGTGCACGTCCGTGTTTCATTCTCTAGGATATTAACTTCAAGGCAGCTGTGTGAAGATACACTGTCAAATACCCGGATCTTTATCCTATTGAACATAATTCGGATTTTATGAGAAAAATCAAAGCCCTTCCTTTCCACACAATTTCGACTATTCGAAAGATCTATACAGTAGGTGTGGCAGCAGATGGGGTCAATCTCCTATTCAGGGATACATGGTATCCAACAGAAAAAAATGTCTTGAAGTAATAAGAGCGAGTG